ATAAATAATATTGATGCATAATTAAAATTAATTAATAATTAATTTTCAATTTATATTAATTAATATTAGTAATATTTAAATTTTATTAATATTTATTTATAATTAATATTAATGAGGGTTATAATTGGAAACAATGACAATAAGCTATCAAAACGCTACTCTAGGTAGCATTTTAATAAGCTAACTTATGTGCATCGAAACGTGTACCTAGAAAATAAGCTAGCTTATTTTTGCACCAAATAGTGCCTAAAAATAAACGATTTTTTAAACACACACCTCTGCGTCAAATCCCAGATGCAGATGCATAAAAGACTCGCATTGCTTAGTATTTTCAATCCTATCCTCATATGATTTGGGAATGGCTTCCTTCGGTAGCAACTTTAGAGTGTCCCACATAGATGCATTGCTTACAACAGCTTTCCTTGCACGCACAAACTGCAACATCACAAAAGGTTTTGATGAGTAAATATCAAATTAATTTCATATGGATAAAGTAGGAGTCTTCACCACTCACTTGACCACTTCTTAGCTTCACTCCTGTTGCTCGGCCATTCTCAACAACGATATTTTCCACATGACTTCTTAGAGAGATTCGTCCACCGAATTTCTCTAATCCTCGAACAAGAGCATTAACAATTTCTCCACTTCCTCCAAGAGGGTATTCTAAATTGCAACCTGGTTTATACCATTCTGCAAACATATAAATCTGCAAATATGGGAATATAAGCACAAGATCAGAAAACTAGACAGCATGAAAAGAGGAAAGATGAGACGGCTTCTGGAAAAGAATGCTAAATTGTAATTCAATTCCCAAAAGACTGATGGAATTTTGTTAATGTATGCTGAATACCATCTCTGCTGAAAGTACACCATCAGATTTCACCCCAGCAAGCAAGAAAGACAAAAGATCCACCCAGTTCCTGATGAAAGGATCTTTCAACCCCAATGAATCAACAACTTCTGAAAACGGCCGTAAAAGCTTTGTAGCACCAAGAACGCCTTGAGGTCCCATTTGTGCAAATGATTTTAGGAGTGAAAGTGCATATCTAGCTCCAGCGGTGGAAAGAACACCCAAGTCTCCTCGGATAGATAAAGGAGGCAAAGCCATGGCAGCTGCAGATAATGGAAGTATCGCATCCTGTTCATAATGAAGTTCACTTACATTTGCCCAATAGAGGCAACAGCATAATGATTTCACTAATAGCACCACAATAAATTCTTTCGTACCAACCAATAACAACAGCAAACTAGAATGGTGCAGTATTTTTTTTTAATATCCAAATCAGCAGTGCCGTAACAAAAAAAAAAAAAAAAAAACTTGCATTTGTCATCACTGTTTAAATGAAATTAAGCATGATTCCTTCAAAGTTCAAACAACACTAACTTTTGAATGACACAAATGCATTGAAACTGTGTATAAGAAAATTAAGTGAATGTCACTAACAAGAAGTTTTTGCCATTCCAGCACAGCATTTGGACCAGCATACGTCTCCAAGTCCTGACATGGTATTGACAACAAAAAGAATCTTGAGTAAGAACCCTGTATCTCGCTGTTCAGTGATTAATCTATGCAAATTATGTGGAATTATAGGAATTTAATATCATACAACGGGTTTAACCAGATCCGAGGACTGAAGCAAATCAGTTCCCCATTGCAAGACTCAGGGTATGCCTTGTGTACCAAGAATTGACGAAACTAGTTTACATATAGAAGCAGCCATACAAGTATCCATGAACTACCTTGAAAAATTCCGTCGGACCAATGCGTGAGAGAAATTCCCCTTCAGGTACATAAACCATCCATGAGTCATACTTGGCACATGGAATTGACTCTCCCAAGGCATCCAAAACCTATGAATCATGAAGAGCATAAAAATCAACGGAGCTACAGATAGATGTCACCACCCATCCATATTGTATTGTATGAGTGGTAGTCGCATAAAGAAGACTTCTGCATGTTTTGTGGTTTTAGGGGTGGTATGCAGGATACGTGGATTTGTATGAAGTACATCACTTTATTGTTTCTATTAACAGTCGATATGGAGTTTCTTCTTGTTATTAGTTAACCCAACTTTAACTTCTTTCTAACAAGGCTTTAACGACCAACCTACCCGTTTAAGTGAGATAGATTGGTTGTTTTTATTTGAGCTAGAGTTGCAGGTGAAACAAATAGTTCAACACTTTTAACATTCTCAATTTATCATACAAGCTCATACGTATTGAGCCCACAGAAAGGAAATCTTATACAAGACAATTTTAATGTGCCAACTGTCAACTTTAATGGAAGCATACCAACACAGTGGAAGATAAAGGCAAAAGAAACCAAAGGGTCATTGGCCCAGCAGTACCCCGGGTAACGGGTTAAAGATAGAGCCCAGCCTCCTAAGAGGTCAAGGGTTCAAATCTCACCAAAGATGAAGAGTGTGCGTGAGTATTTTCTGTACATAAATATTATGTAATTCCAAAAAAGGCAAAAGAATATAAGATATCAGTTTAAGGATTGTTCAATGAAGAGCATGAAAGACATAAATACTTGTGCAAGGGGATTCGCCTGGAGACCTCTAGATTGAAATCCTGAAAACAGAGATGGGCCAGAGTCGAATTTGTAGTCTTTGATCTCAAATGCATGAGCAGCACCACCTGGTTGGTCATGGCTTTCCAAAACTATAACATCCTGCCCATATCTAGCTAAAAGTCCTGCACAGCACAGTCCGCCAAGACCACTTCCTATAACAACAACATCTGCTTCTGGCTTGCCTGCATGTTATCCTGCCATTGCATTAAATTTTGCTCAAGAGAACATATATAGCACTCCCCCCCAAAGCTCCAATTTTGCTACAGAAAACGTACGAGGTAGCATATTTCTCTCTCCTAGAGATTACTTTTTTATCTCTTTAAAAAAAGGAAAAATTAGCGAGTTTGATGTTGATCATTGACGATTGTCATAGATTTACTCTTTTAGCTAATCTAGGAGCAATCAAATGATGTATTTCCTTAAATAGCCCTATCCACCTCTCTTGTTTACACTCTCTTGTTCTCTTGTAATTGTCTCTGCTTTAGAAGAATCAAACAACCAAGGTCATATATGACGACTATTCATTCACCAAACTAACAAGGAAAATGGAATAGAAGTCTTAAGGTATTTACTAAAAAAAACGTGTAATACTTGCATTGCTTAATAGATTGAAACCTTGAATGACAGAAGAGATGGAGCATAAACTACAACTATGTTGTTTTCTTCTCTAGAAGAATCAAACAACCAGACAATGCCTGTGGAATGCAATTAACAAATTAGATTTAACAATTGCATTCCTTAATGGCTCAAAAAATCCTTCAAGGATGGACAAAGGGAGCACAAAAACAGTTCTTGTTTACTAAGGAGTTTCACAAAGGTACTTGTTTGTTTTTATATGTGCTGTTCGAGCCTCCTTAGTGCGTCCGGGGATTTTATCTTCGCGGCATGGAATTAAGATAGTTGTTCTACTAATCTTTTCAAAAATTGCTCTATTAATTAGATCTTTTTATACTTGAATAACTCGTAGTAGTAGCTATGGCGGTCGTGTGAAAATACTGAATTATGCCAAATCACCCATAAAATTAGGAATCCATATACTACCAAGTACAGATAGATTAATCATAAATGTAGAACGATAATTCCACGAGACCTGAGAAGGATTTGGCTTGTGTAACTCTAGAAGAGGATGAAGCTGAAGCAGAAGCAGAAGCCGCCTCCTCAGTAACATTGGAAAAGGTTCGAGCCAAAATGGTAGAATTACGTTGTTTGGTAGCGTATTCGAGTTTGGGTTTGTTGAAAGAAGGAGCAGGTCTGAAGAAGGTTCCTAAAGTAGCTGCCATTAACAGATAGGGAAGATTGGCAAGGTGAATAAGATTGAAGCGATGAAGCTCCTCTCCTCCTTAGAATGGCAGGGGTTGATAGGCATCCACCATGGGAGAGTTTGTCGCTTGAAAATGGACACGCAGCACTCTTTGCAGCTGTGCGTCTGAGGCAATAATCGTTTTATACCTTCTTTTGAAAATCCTTTATTACAGTAGCTTAACGAGCAAATTACATGAAAAATTAACGAAATTTCACGATTCCTATTTTGGGTAACGTATTTTCAAAAATTCTATTTCAATATCTAAGATGTAAAGTTTTAAACATTTAAGTACCCGAGTAACTCAGTGAATACTAATTTTAGACTTAAAAAAAAAGACTAATTTTAGATTAAAAAAAATCCACGTCACTGACTAAATCAACAAATAATACCGAGTTGGATACCATATCACTCGTCACATAAGTATGAGAACCGGTTAATACTTCAACCAGTTACCCGGGTACTTAAATGTTTAAAACTTTACATCTTAAGTACCAAAACGGAAGTTTTGAAAGTACGTTACCGAAAATAGGAATCAAGTTAAAGTACGTTACTTTTTCATGCAATTTACCCTAGTTTAATTGATCTTGTAACCGATTTGCCCTCGGATTCGGAATGATCTAAGGGGCTGTTTGTTTGCCTCTTAATGGCGACATTAAGAGGGTGCCTCTTAATCGGTAAGAGGTGTGATGTGTTTGGCAAAAAAAAAACCCCTCTTAATGGTTACACAAGCCTCTTAACCATTTTGAGGGTATGAGCTCACTAAACCATTCAGATTACCCTTTCTTCCATCTTTACCCTTCCACACCCTAAAACAGCCGCACATTATTTCATTCCCCAAGTCGCCGCCTTCCGGTTATTGCCTCCATCTTCTCCGGCAAGGGTGTCTTCGGTCGCCGATTCCACAGCTTCGTCGGTCGCCGGTTTCCTCAGCTACTCGTCGGTCGCGCTTTGCTCACCTTCGTCGGTCTCGATTGTATCAGGTTTGCTCCCGTTAGATCCTATGTTTTTTTGCTTTCCTCAGCTTCATCGGTCGCCAGTTACATCTTGCTAGATTTTATATATTTTTTGAAGATTGCTTTCACTTTTGAAGATTGCTTTCACTTTTGAAGATTTTATCTAGACCCAAAATCAGTCGTCGGTCTCGATTGTATTTATTTTTTGAAGATTGCTTTCACTTTTTTTACTAGATTTTATGTTTAGATCTTGTTATTTAGATGGGGTTTTTTTGAAGATTGCTATCACTATTGATGTCTATCTGTTTACAATGTGTGGGGTAAACAAGCCCCAAACAAGCCACTGCCTTTTTGAAGATTTTATAATGCCATTTCGATTTTCTGTTTACAATGTGTGGGC